ATTCCACAGAGAATTCTTTCGATTTTGGAGCTAGAGCTAAAGAGACCTAGCTCCGTGTTCTTGAGAAATCTATCACCTAATTTTTTACCTTTTTTCTCTAAGTTTGATGAATACGGTTCGTAGTTGGGACTTAGAAAGATTTCAAAGTCAGAAGTCGAGAACGACGACCACGATCTACGGTCCGTAGATGGGACCACGACTCGTAGTAAGGGTTCCATCATTGGTGGACCAGTAATTGAGTCTCTAAAGTCAACGACGATTGAACAAGATGGTTCGTAGCTTGAGCCACAGACCGTGGTTCGCAACCGTCGCTGACAACGACTATTATTTGGAAAGAAAGGGCTTTTGGGTCAACTTTAAATGGTCATATATTTGAGCACAAAACGAATTAGGTGGCCCATGACTTTTCAATTTAAGATAATTGAATCCTCTTTCCAACGCCACCGAGTTTGCTGAAATCCAAGCTCCGAGTAAAAAGTTATGCTTGTATTAGTGAAGCCCTATCGGGAAGTTGACGGATGGTAGTCCAAACGATGGTCCGTTAGTCCTGTAGTAGATGGAATTCGGCAAATTTCTAGTCAGAGGTTATTGGGTCTTTTTCCAATTGTTTTAACTCAATACTACATTGTTTTGCCTTCTACCCAAAGTCTATATAATGATTTTAAACCCCCAAAATCACCCAAACCCAATTCATTCTCTCAAATTCTCAAAAGAAGATCAAGCTCTTCCTCTCAAATATTTCTCTCTCTTGAAGTGGAAGAAGAAGAAATCTAGGGTTTCAAGATAAAGCCTCTAAATCCTCCATTGGCTCCAAGCTTTTGGTATCAAGGTATGTTACTTTTCATTCAGAGAATCTGTTTCTCCATGGTTCACAAATTCTCCAATTTACAAAGTTAGAGTTCTCCAATTGAGCCCATGAACCCACAGATAACTCATGTTTTCTAAGCTATGTTGATAAAATGTGGGTCTTGAACTGTGAAAGATGAATTTATGAATATATTTATGTCTTCTCTTTATGATATTGATGTAAATGAATTGAACATGCATTGACTTTGAAACTATGATGAAACTTATGAATTATTGAAAAGAATGCATGTTCATGAAAGTATGTTTATGACTCAAGAAAGCTTATAGATGAGATTGTCTATATGTTCTATGAAGCTTGGCAACATGATATGATTGCCATCTAGATTTGTCCTCAATGCTTTTCACGCGATTTTCCTAAATTAGGTCTTGATTAGTATAGTAGACGATTATGCCATCAATGTTTATAGACCACAATTTCAAAACTATTTCCATTAGTATGAGGGGCATCACTAGCATGAAGTGAATGACTATGTGCCTTAAAAGCTATTATGAAAAGATCATGGATGGTGAAAGGTTTTTTCACGCATGCTCTAAGGAGCTATCCTAATATGACTATAGCTTGGATTGGTTATTGAATGATACCATTCCATGGATAATGATTTAGCTTGGATTGGCAAGATGACGTGCCCTTCCATGGATAATAAGAACAAGTAAGAAATGACTATTCCGTGGGATTTATGCATAGCACCGAGAAGATATTGAGATACAAACTCTGCCATTAGTAGAGGTCGGGTTTCTAGTAGCAATATCCTTATCCCTTACCTAAGAGCCCCCATAGGATGATTGTCTAGATAGACATTAGCTAGTGGATCAACTTTAGCTCAAATTCATGGTTCTACCTTGGCAAGTAGGACAATCTTTTAGGTGTAGGAGACAACGGGGGATCATGTTAAAGCTCACATGGTCTCAATGTCGGTTAAGGCTCATTCCCACATTAATATTGAACTAGGGTTACTTCAAGAAGAATCTCGTATGTGTTCAATGGTTTCAAATTATGTTATCTTGCATTGACTATTTTTATGACTTATGTTTTCTAACTCTTTTATATCATGTTTTAGCTTGGTCAATTGCATTTCATGAAATGTCCTCTTTTAGCATGATTTAAATGTTTTATTCAAGCTATCATATTTGGTACATCGTTTGTTACAAACGCATACTCTTGACTACATTTCCCAAACTGTAGGGTCCAACAGTCAGGTTTCTCAGTTTTGTGGCTAGTGGTTGATTACGAGGTTCTCGAGCTTTGGTGAGTCCTCACGCTTCGAGGATGGATTTTTATTGTTTTAGTTTCTTTCTTATACTTTCCAGTTTTTGACATGATGTATGGTCTAGGCCCAATTTTCATTCGATTATTTTAGATGGCTATTGAGACAAGTGTTTTAGACTTCCGCTTTTGTTTTATAAAACTATTGGACTTGGACTATTGGTTTACTTCTATTGCTATTATTCTTATGTTATGAATGCTAAGTGGCTTGTATGAGGTCTTTTGGGGTCCTATACACCATGTAACATCTAGGGGGTACCCCTGGGTCGTCACAATATCCTAGGACTTATATAAACGTTTCTAACTCCCAAATTTCCCATTTGAACTCTTTCTCCTATTTCCCTAAAGTGACCAAGTTCATCCTACTAAGTTTCTCTCTCTAAACTTTAAAGAAGAAGTCTAGGATTTCAAGAACAAGTCTCCAAATTCACCATTAATTGTGGGCTTTTGACATCAAGGTATGTTAGTATTCACCTATAAGGTCCTTTCCTCAATTGGGTTCCCAAATTCTCAAATTTTACAAGTTAGAATGTCCAATTGAAATTCGAGTTTTATTCAATCTCATGGGTTCTTTTCAGTGATGATCCAATTGATTTGTTTTATGTCTTTTTATGCATGAATTAAGATAATTGAATGTTTTAAGTCTATATTACATGAGCCCATAAATGATCCATGATTTCTAGAGTTTGATCGCATGATGAAGTTTATGAATTGTGAAAGATGAATTTATAATGATATGCATATTTCTTCATGAAACTGATATATATGGCTTAAGGTTGTTTTGAGTGTAAATCATTGATGTTGTTGTTATGAAATAATTATTTCTCACATACTACTCTAAATATTATTTCGAAAGGGTTTTCAAACCCTTGTTAAATCAAGACTAAGGAGTTATTCTAATGAGCTCTAGCTTGGATTTGTTACTTAATAGTGCCTTTAGATGGGTAATAATAAGAATATGATTAATGACTATTTCGTTGGATTTATTCTTAGCACCGAGCGAAATAGTGGTGATTACCCATGTCCCATAAACTATGTGCAGCCATAGGATGATTGTCTTAGATAAACATTAGCTTGTAAATCCACTTTAGCTCAAGACTCATTGTCCTTACCTTGATTGTCTTAGATAAACATTTATTTGTACGATTAATTTGAACTAACATTCACTCAATATTTTTTTTTTTGAATTGTTGATCTTTACTGGAAATGGGCAATACTAAACTCCCCGTCTCTTGAACATTTTGTCGTATGACTCAGACTCTGAATCCACTCCTCCACCACCTCTCAAAAGGAAAAGGGAGTGGTGATAAATAAGCCTAAATGTCAGCAATAGGTCGATCTATGCAACTCTACACAAGTAATTAACGATTAAAAGAAGGATAAAGAGGTTGAAATAAGAAAGAAGAGAGTGTTGATTGATGAAAGCTCCTCTTCCTCCTCTAACTCTATTGAGGGGATAAATGTAGTAGAGAATCAATCGGAACCTACAGTGGTAAAAAAGTTGTATCAAAGAAGAGGAACACAATGCGTTTCAAGTTGCCTCAAGACCCTACCACTAATGCAAGTGTTTCAAGGATTCTCCGGATGATAGCTCCAAGGACCCTGGGCAGGCTTAAAGTAGTGGGGTAGTGAATAATTATAGAGGAGCAACAATTATCAATGAAGGCGGTTATCAGTGACTACCTAGCCATATAATAAATAATCAAATTCCAAAAAATTGAGAAGTTCTAAAGAGCTCGACCCTTTATGTCCAAGCGTGAGTTTGAGAGTTTTATGATGGCTATTCCAAGGCATTGCCCAAGAAGAGAAAGGGTGAAGTTTGTAGACCCTTAGAGAAGGTTAAAGTCCTAGGAAAGATAGTTCAATGTTGTTGGGGTAACAATAAATTATATTATAGGTATGGGTAATAATAAGGCATAGATGTATAATATTCGAATGAAGCATATTTTTGATGCATTTAGAGGGTGGTTGGCACCCGTCATCTCACATATTACTCCTTCGTGGTTGGCTGATGGAGTGAATATATAGAAAAATGATATCAGCATAGAGGCTCAATTGTTTTTGGGGTCGTCCCCAGAAACCTAATGCATTCTCAGAAACACTCTGTCCTCTGGCATCCAACTCCATCATGGTGGGTACTATCATTGATGAGGAGAAGATCTAAGTGGATGCAATAATTGAGGAAAGATGCTCATGAGAGCTAGGCAGAAGTAGATATCACTATCTTTCCCTATTCTCATCACGTAACTATTTTTCCCTATTCTCATCATGTAGCTCTATGAGTTAGATGAAGTTCCTTTTCAAGAGAGGTTTGATGTTAGAGTTACACACACATTGTACAAGGACATTCGAAAGATTGAGGCTGAGTATTTGATAGATGATGCGGCTAGAAGGAAGCCACCACCACCTCACACCACACCAGTAGTGGATCCCACTACTTAAGAGTGAAACACTACTCACCCCTCCCCTACTGTGTATCCATCAGGTACCTTTAACCCTTCTCCTATGCCTTCTAGATAATTTACACCCTCGACCTCGACTTCATCTCCCTTATAGCCTCCGTTCACTTAGGCCTTGATTTATTAGATGGGCAACCTTACCTATTGTGTTGATGTTGCATCATCTAGACTTGAGAGAGAGGTGCATGATATTTTTACCAAATGTATTGAGGCTGCTCTATTTTTGGTTCAAGCTAATGTTGTTAGTTATAGATCTACTATAGCTTCTTATGGGGAGAGGCTAGAAAACCTCACAGCTGGGGTTGAGACACATTAGTGATGTAAATGTAGTTGTGTCAGGCTATTTGATTTGAAGAGCTATATAGCTACTTTAGTATGGATGTTGACCAACTGACTCCACCGATATATTGATGTATAGGGGTAAGGGTCCTTTTGTCGAGATTCCTACAATTGTACCTCCAACTAAGTTGCGAGGAGATGGAACAACTGGGGTTGTAGAGAAGTCATTGGGTTACTATTCAGAGAAGGTTGCGGATAAGGTTGATGATGCTTCAGCCTTTAAGACTGCTAAAGAGGAGTTTGTGAGGGTCGATGAAAAGGTTAGTGTTGACACCTTAGATAAGTTGCAGAGTTTAGTGGTGTCGATAGTGCATTCTACGTTGGAAATATCTTGTCTAGAGACTTCCACAATTGGCACTAATTGGGCCTGTCCTTCATATTCCACTATTCCTCTTCCCAATGTGTTGGGCACAAATGCCTTAATCGATCATACACCACTACCTTCACTTTCAGTTATGTGGGGTACTAATGCCCAACATGATACAACTCCCTCCGAGTCACATGATCAAAGTTCTTCACAACCATAGTCTATTAGAGGGACCTTTTACTCATCTTGTTGCAATACTTTATTTTATAGCATTAAGGACACTACTAGTTAGTTTTTGGTGGGGTGAGGGCATCTTTCCCTATATTCACCTTTTGATTGTTTTTTGTTTATTTCAGTTATATTTTGATATTTTAGCATTTTGGTTTTATTATATTTGGTTGGTTTTGGTTTCATTTTCGTCTTTCTATGAATTACCCCATGCATTTTGGAGTAGTGAAATGACTGAGATTTCTTGTATTTCATAATATATATGTTTGAGGATTGATTTTTTCGTATATCGATGTCTTAGATAGTACTCTTGATATGAAATGTATTTCTGCTTGTTTTGCATGAACAAATCAGTGTAGCTCTACTTTTGAATCATCTTTTGGAATCTTGTGTTGACTAGATGTGTATTGATGTGAGCCTTCTAATAAACATCACACATAAGGTTAATTTTTTAGAGGTGTGTTAAATGATTGTGTTTGAAGTTCTATGTGTTGTGAGATACTGCTTGAAAGCATGATTGTTGATTCTTAGAATTTGGTTTGTTAGTCTTATTTTAAACTTTGGTGAATGCAAGAGATAATCTTGGGCATATATTTGAAAGGGAACCCGAATCTTCATACATTTTGTGACTAGCTTGTGAAGGTGTGAAAACATGTTGGCACCATTTGAGCCTATACAATTTTTATTGACCTCATTTAAGCCTTTTGAACCAAATATGTCCCAAACTTCTCTCGCATAAAACCTTTTCTATGCATTGGTTTGTTTGAATAGCCAAATTAAGCAAAAAGCCTAAGTTGGGGGTGTTGAAAGGAAAGAGTAAAGAAAGCCAAGTGAAAGAGAAGAAAGAAAAGTTAGACTCAACCTTTAAGTTTGTAGCAAAAAGAAGGAACCCCTCCTTATTAAAAAAATAGAAAAATCATGAAAAATGAAATGAAACAAAGAAAGCCTTAATAAAATGAAAGGAGTTTCCAATAAATCAATTGAAAATCTAAAGATTGAGTCTCCAAATGAAAAGAATTGAAGGAGGTTGAGAAGAGGTAAAGATGAGTGTACAATACTTTGAAAAGATGAAGTTACTAAGACAAATAAACCATACATTTACCCTAATCCCCATTACAAGCCTTAATGACTCTTGATATCATGCTAAAATCGGGCTGCGTGATAATTGGAAGTTATGGGCAAACCTATGAGATGAAGCTTGCATGCATTTCTCTTTCCGAGAGTGAGAGTTGTATTTATTCTTAACTTCTTTGTTGATGTGCCTTGTGATAGCATGGAATCATTCTTCATTGTGAGGGCATTTGAATTCGTTTGTTGAAGCATAGTTTCAATTATGAAGGAGCATTAGTGAGCTTAAGCTTGGATTGATATCAACGAGTCATCATTTGAAACTTCTTGAGCAGGATTAAGATATTGCATATACATGTTAGAAGTCTTGTGATGGAACTTTCATGATGAATCCAATTGAGGACTACTGTAGACACCCTTGTTGAACTTTTTGTGTTCTTGATTTATTTGAGGAAAAGAAAAAGTTTGAGTTGGGGTGTTGATAAGTTAGAGATTTTGACCCAATGAAGGCCTTATTATTTCAACAAATAGTGTCCTCAATGCCTATTTATGTCCTTACCTAATGTTTATTTGATGTTTTGCAGCTATGAAGGCTAAAGTACATGGCACAGATGAATCTATGAAAAAGAGATAAAAAAAACATTGAAAAAGAGTGTAAACTCCCAGCTAAGGATCGCCTAACAAAAATGGCGAATCACCCAATAGGTTAGACCTCCCCTAAAGTTACAATGTTCACTTTTGAAAATATTCAAGGTAGGTCGGTGAAGAAAAGTGCAAACAATGTTTCGCTGAAAAATAGTTGTGCAAGCTAGAAGTTCCATCGCTGTTATGTGACATACATTTGTGTTAAAATGACGGGCCAATAGGAGAACAAGGGGCTAATCACTAATTCACTGAAATGTGAAAGGCTTACTCAATCAAGTTGGCCGACTAAGGTTCAAACACCTGAAGCCTAAAGCTAAGAAAGGGTGAGCTGAGAATAGAAAGATGATCCGCTAAATCATGAATGTGATCCCGACTAATGTCACCGATAAAGTCTTGCATGAAATTTCTGACTAATTTTTGTGGAAATTATAAATATCCATAGGAAAGCTAAAATGTATCTTCAATATCTTTCTTTTTTTTACCTATTTTAAAATTTTCATATTTAGAAATAGACTTTTTCTTCCTTTCTCTTTGTTTTGGGGTGTTGAACAATCTTGTAATTTACAATTGAGGGTTATATTAAAAGTGGGTGTCGAAGATTAATTTTGTTTCTCAATTCTTTAATTTTTAAAAATATTATTGGTACTCTTTTTTCGTTTTATGAAGTTTGTCTAAAACCCCAATTTTAGGGGTGTGATTATGGGGTTAAGTAATAATTTAATTTAGTGGGTCTAGTGTCTTGCTCTATTTTCCTGTTGTTCATTCATGAATTTGAGTTATTTTGCATGGGTTTACTTTATGGGTTAAGGTTGCAAACTTAATCCTAGAGATCTTTGATTGATGCTTGAAAGATTTCAATTGAAGTGGGTTAATTGATAAATGCTTGTAATTTATGTTTGATTTATGTATGTTGCTCGAAAGAGAAATTGTGGTTCAATTGTAATTGTTAAATCTGCTCGAAAGAGAGATTTTAGTAAGGTATTGGGTAGATTTGAGATTTACATAGATGAAACCGAGAAGAGATTCTATGATATGATGCTTTAAGATCAGAAATAGATTTGTGTCATTAAAGATTACCCATCCTATCCATGTTTGTCTAGCATTATTGTGATAGAACTTGAACCCCTTATTGACATTATTAACACCAACTCCTACACTCCTAGATCATCTCATACATGTTTAAAACTATGTTTTTTGTTGGATTGTGATAATTGATCGATAAACTCTTTTATTCGATTTAGTGCACTCATCCACCCATTTGTCGTAATTGCTACAATGAATTCGTTTGCATCACAATGTCCTGATTGGATACTTATCTTTAGGTCACTCCTTGTGGGATTCAACCCCGACTTCTTTGTTTGGTATTTATATTGTTAGCAGTTGCTTACTCATTTAATTATTTTTGTGAGTAATTTAAGCGTTATCAATATGCTAACCTGTGTAGACCAATGAAGACTAAGTTAATTAGTGGGAGTCAGTATATTCTTTTGTATCGTGATGACTATAGCCATATGAATTGGGCTTACTTTCTGAATTTCAAATTTGAAGCGTTAGAGAATTTAAAGACATTCAGAGTACTTGTAGAGAAGCAAAAAAGTTGCAAGATATAATCTCTTCCGACAGATCATGGTGGTGAATTTTAATCTAATGATTTTAATTTATTTTGTAATGAGAATGGCATTTTCAGGGAGCTTACTGCACCATACTTGCCTCAGCAAAATGGAGTTGTTGAGCTAAAAAATTGCACGGTGGTTGAGATTGCTAGAAGATTACTTAATGGAACGGGACTTCCAATTCATTTTTTGAGAGAAACAACAGTTAGATCTATGTACTAAGTAAACATATCTCCAACAAAGGTTATTTTGGATGGAACTCCATACGAAGCTTTGATGGGTCAAAAACAAAGTGTTAGCAACTTAAACGTCTTTGGTTGTAAAGTTAATGCTTTGGTTAATATACGTTCTAAACTAGATGAAAACTCAAAGAAATATATTTGCATTGGTTATAGTCCTCAATTGAAGAATATGGACTAAATAATCAAACTATTGGAAAATTGCTTATCAACAAGAATGCTCTTTTTAATAAAGAAGCAGCTTGGGAGTGGAATGGCAAGAAAGAAGATTCAACAGTCCATATTATTGTTCAATTAGAAGGAAAACATACTACAATTCTTGAATTAGCTGGTTCTGATCGTTCCCCTCCTTGCAATAGTAATACTAATCTTTCTCCTCTTAGTAGCAGCAATAACAATTCTATTCCAGCAAGCTCTCATTCTCAATCTTCAGCTTCATCCAGTGAAACGCCACCAATAAAATTTTGTTCATTGAAAAATGTTTATGCAACTTGTAATTTTTCCTTGATAGCTACTGAACCAACATGTTATAAAGAAGCTGCAAAAAATCATGTGAGGGAAAGTGCAATGATTGAGGAGATTCAAGCCATTGAGGAAAACCAATCCTCGGAGTTAGTTCATTTTCCTAAACGAAAGAATGTTATCGAGGTAAAGTAGATTTTCAAAATTTACAATGTTGATGGAAGTATCAAAAGGAATAAAGTTTGACATGTTGCAAAAAGATATTCCAGATACAGGGGATCGAATTTGAAGGGACATTCTCAACAAAAGATCACTTTGAAAAAATTAGAAATACTCCAAGCTTGGCTACTCAACTTGGTTGGTTGTCTCTATGTTGATGATATTTTATATATATATATATATATACATATATATATATATATATTGGCTCTTGTGAATCAATTGTTAATGAATTTAAGAGTTGCATGATGAGTAAATTTGAGATATCTCACTTGGGTATGCTGCATTATTTTCATAGGCTTGAGGTGAGACAAAGTTTGTATGGAATTTTATTTCACAGATCAAGTATGCTACTGAACTTTACAAAAGTTCATCTTGATGAATTGCAATCCATCTCCCGCACCCATGAATATGATGAGAAACTGGTACTTACGGATGTAAAAGTGCAACAAATTTTTATTACTTTAGAAGCTTAGTCTAAACTACTTATCCCACAACAGGCCTAATATTGTATTATTTATCAGTTTGGGTTCAAGGTTAATGCATAGTCTTTCGAAGCAATATATAGGTGCAGCCAAAAGGATCTTGTGATATGTTTCTAGCACAACAAGTTATAGAATTGGGTAGTAAAAAAACTATCAGATTTCATATTACTTGGTTCTACTGATTGTGATTGAGCAAGTAGCTTGGAAAATCGCAGGAAATTAACCAAGAGCTGATTGGTCGAACAAAAATATGGTTGTGACAATGAGTAGACGATTGCTATAATGAAACAATCCTACTTTTCATAGAAGAACGAAGCACATCGACATCCATCATTACTTCATTCGCGATCTAGTTGTTGGTTGAATAATCTCATTGAAATTTTAATGCAAAAATGATCATGTTCTGATGTTCTTACGAAATTGCTTCAGCATGACATGCATGATTTTCTCCAACAACAATTGAGCGTTTGTTATTTTCAAGAAAGAAGGAGTATGTTTACTAACTCTTCTACCTAATTCAGTTGCAGAAAATAGGTTTGTGAGTCTTGTTTTTTGGATTAGTGGGTTTATGTTTTACCTAGTCAATGAATTATCTTCTTATTTTAGTGGCTCATGTTTACCACTTTCCCCTTGTTTTTCCATTATTAGTTAGTTGCTTTATTTTAGCTTAAGTAGTTAACCGTATGCCTATAAATTGGTCTATGTGTTCTTGTTCAGTAGTAAGAAAATTGAGCAGTAAGAAAATATTATTTTTGGAAGCTATTTCTTTGCCATTCATCTATTGACCAAACAAGTCATAATAAGACTTGTTGTTTGAGACCATTGGACGTAAGGAGACTCGTACATAAGAATATATCATCGTTCAAAAATTACAATGGTTAAAATTATTCATGTGATAAACTTTTTAGCTATTGTTTTTGGTTATTATCTTTTGGTGTAACATTCAATAAAATTATACTGCCAAGAATTTACAGGACCTAACTTTCTATAAGTGAATGTTTTGTTAATAGGCACAACTCCTTTAGGTTACATCATATTTATCATTTCTAATGATTTAAAAATATAAATTGATTTAAAACACTTTTCTTTCATTTATGTCATTAAATCAATTGCATTCACACAAATTCCTTTCGATTTGCAACTATTTAATATAATCGACATGCTATTATCGTACAATGCACATTTATAGAAATCAGTATATTATGAACACAAGAATTTCAAAATGTTAAATTTTTATTGAAAAAAAAACTCTTATGACTTTTCTACTCTTAAAAGCTACATTTAAAATATAAAACATTTTCGATAAAAAATAACATTTAGCTTTTCCTAATAATTTGAATCTAACTAAAATTTTGCATACTGAATTGAATTCTTCATCTATCAGTCATGAATTTGATACTAATTCAAATTAATCATATGATTAGACTTCTACTAGAAAAATTCTATGAAATTTAATATAAATTTAGCAAGCAAAAGCATGCTTATGCTTCTTTGCATAGGTAGATATTTTATACATTTGGTAATCAAAAGTATCAGATTGCAGATTTCTTAGTTTTATTGATAGTGATTGGGAAGGTAGATTAGAAAATCGTAGGAGACCAAATGGAAATATTTTAAATCTCTTTTCCAGAGGAATCTCATGGAATTCAAAGAAACAAGATAAAGTAGGATTATCATATCTAGAAGAAGAATACATGGTTGCAACTTCAGCAAGTTATCAAGCTATGTGGTTAACGAATTTGGTAGTGGATCTTCAACAAGGGCAGACTTGTCCAACATAAATATTGGGTGGCAACAAGGTGACAATTTCTATGACAAAAAATCCTTCATTTCATGGTAGGACGAAGCAGATCGACATCTATTATCAATTCATTTGTGATCCTGTTGTTGTTGGAATAATCTCATTGATATTTTGTGGCACAAATGATCAGTTTGATGATGTTTTACAAGAACCATTTTTCACAACAAGAATGACTTCTTCATACAACAAATGAGAGTTTGTGAGTTTTAAGAAAGGAGGTGTGTTGACTTATTCTTCCTATTAATTAAGTTGCAAGAAATAAGTTTGTGTGTTTGGTTATTAGGATTCGTTGGTTTATGTGTTTACCTAGTCAATGAATTATCTTCTTATTGTAGTGGGTCATGTTTACCACTGTCCCCATATTTTGTCCATTAATAGTTAGTTGCTTTATTTTAGCTTAAGTAGTTAACTGTAAGCCTATAAATGGCAGTATGTGTTGTTGTTTCAGTAGTAAGATAATTTAGCAGTTCAAACCCTTTGTTTCTGAAAGCGATCTTCTTTAGATTTCATCTCTTGATCCAATAAGTAATAGTATGACTCGTGGTTAGATCCCAATGGTCATAGGGAAACTCGTACATAGGAATAACCCGCTTTTAAAATCATATTGGTCAAAATTATTCTCGTGTTAAACTTTTGAACTTTTTTTTTTTCATTTTTATGTTAATATTTTGGGGTAACTTTCTATAAAATTAAGTTAGCAAGGATTTTCATATCAAAACTTTCTATAATTAATTTTCTTGTTAATAGGCACATCTTCTTTATGTTAAATCATAACTATCCTTTCTAATGATTTAAAAATATATATTGATTGAAAACACTTGTCTTTCATTAATGTTGTTAAATCAGTTGCATTCACACAAATTCCTTTTTTATGCAACTGTTTAATATAATTGACATGGTATTATTATACTATGCACATTCAAAGAAATCAATATTTTATGAACTTATAAATTTCAAAATATTTAATGATTATAGAAAAAAATATTTTTATATTGTTGATTGACTTTTATATTCTTAAAAACTAAATTATTTGTTCAAAGAGATAAAAAAATTTGGATAAAAATTTATATTTAGCTTTACCGAATATTTTGAATCCAACTAAAAATTTTCCTGTTGCATCAAATTTTCGATCTATTAGTCATGAATTTGATTCTAATTCAAACTAATCATATGATGAGACTTCTATTAGAAATATTTTATGACGTTTAATATAAATTAGGTAAAAGCATGCATATTCCCTTATGCAGAGGTATAAATCTATATTTTAAACTTATTAGTTTTACTAATACTATCTTGCTTAATTGATTTTCTAAATATGTTTTATATGTTTTTCCCTTTTATTCATATTGTTCACTATTATTACTATAAAATAAAAATAAAAATGAAGTCTTGGTGTTGGATATCTTTATTGTTGTCGCTGGAAATGAGTTTTTCGATCATGGTCGTTTATATGATTTAAAGTAAAAGAATTTTTTGCATAAAATCAACTCTTTTGTATGTTGGTATAATCAGAGGAGTAGGAACACATGCTTGGTGAAGTGACTCAATGACATGATGATGATCATGATAATTTTTAATTCATCAATTTGGTATTAGATATGAAGGTTTCCGTAGCTTAGCTTATGGTGTTGTCACACCCCAACCTAGGTGAGGCAGACAAGTACCATCTTCCCCTCCTTATGATCATTCTTCGTCAAATGATAGGTTAAGCTGATAGTTTGGTTAACCTTGGAATTTCATTTGGAGATTTGCGAGAGTTTCCTTTGTAAATAGGACTATCCAAAATTTATAGACTAACCTAAAACACGTATAAACAAGTCTCACATGACATCTCAATAGATATGGTTCATGAAATAAGAATATGACAAAGCAAACCCTTTTCTTGACCATGTAATTCACTGAGGATACACAAGTAGAACTCATACAAATAAGGAATTTAATATTCCTAAACACAAGACATGCAAATGACATATCAAATGAACAAATGCTAGTAGGACTTATGATCATATAAGGGGACCACATGATCTCAGATCCTTATGTTGATGTTTAGAATGAGGAGGGATATTTAGGATCTCTACCATCTTCTATTCCCAAGTGTCTTATGTTATATTATAGTCCTTCAACAATACTTAAATGGAGACCTTTTGTTCTTAGCTTCCGGGCCTTAACATTCAAGAATTACTATAGTATCTCCCAATTTCTTTATATGGAACTGACACATAAAATCATAGGCCGAATCTATCGAGGCACTACTTTCCCTTCTCTTTTATCTTATGATGATAATCAAAGGTGAGTCTTATAAGAACGCATAGCTGTTAATATAAACTCTAAAGTTTTATGCCACACCTTTGGATAAGGCATTATTCTAGGTTTTCTTATCTATGATTGTGATAAAATTTACATAAATGCCCAACCTTTTCTGGTCAAAATCTTCACTACATTATGATACAAGGAAATGTTTTCCCAAAATGTTCAAAACTCAAGTCAATAAACACAGAGGGGCATAGTATACAAATAAATAAGTCACATTGGGTATGAAACATAGGCAGATTAGCACAAAAGGGAGCGCATAATATACAGGCATTAAGCTATAGAAATATATGGTGTACGCGCGCATATTGTTCACAGGGTAGCGTATGAGCGAATGAACTATAAGAAATGTAGGAAATGGACTAGATGAGCGCATGATGAATGAGTACTATAGCTACGAAATATATAATACGTAAGCAAGTAGACTATATGACAATTAGACATAAGAAAATGAACTACGGAACACAAATCACATTGAGCAAGTGCGTTATATTACATGAATAGGTGGACTAACAAGTCAATAAGTACACTTATGAAATATGAGCAAGTGAGCACATGGAACATGGCTAGAAAAGCTATAAGGTATGTAATGTTTAATCAAGTAGGCTATGAGACCTGTAAATTTATAGAAATGGTCATAGGATCAATTAGCCTACAGTACCCACACAATATGGACAAGTGCCATGAGAAAAGTAACTAGTGCAATAAATAAAATGTAGGGAAAAGGTCCTACGAAAACATATAGCAATAAACAAGGGTGCTCCAAAGCGGATAACACTTACATGCAAGCATTCTATGACATTAGGTAACCTGTGAGAAGGTAATCCCCCAAGGGCAAATGACATACAAATAGATAAGTTATAGAACATGCATCATGTATAATTATATAAAAAACTGTCTTTGGAAACTAGGAGATATCATATAGAACCACTCTACCATAATAAAGGCAAACACACTGTCTTAAGCATTAAGTCACGGGTGGGATAGTTCTGTTCATATTCCTTACTCATCTCAAAGCACATACAATTGATTACCCCATCTACTCTCTTCAATCTCCTATGAATTCTTATAGGTGTTCTACTATTGGGACTTGGCTCTAGGACAATATAAATACTACAATCAAGATAGAAAAAGAAAATCCACAATAGTTCATCTTTTAGAGTAGGAGGCCGAGGTCCACTTTGCCTTCATTACTAGCTTGTGTTATATCACGCTCAATGCCTGGTGCCCTTTGAACGTCGAAATAGAAAATAAATAGTGAAGCTTGAACGCACCATAGAACATGAACTCTAATAACATGTAAATGTCAGTTACCTATAAAGTTATATCATGATTCATAACGTCTGAGAGTTAGCTGCTTCGGGGTTAACTAGATAGGTCTGGCCATACTAATAGATTTCCTCTTTTTTTTATAACAAGTGAGGGTTCTCCGACTCTTTTTCCGTGCAAAATAGCAAATAAGAACAACTAACATATGATCAATTTTTCCTCTCCCTTAATTGGAATATGACTGATGAATTACTGCAGACATATATTAAATGAACCCTGTAGTAGCTCTATTCAATTTGATGGAAGTCTATACATGTGTATAATGCTCTACTTCTCTTTTGTACTAATGATGTGGATGAACTAGGTCCATGTATCTTCTATCTAGGTAACCTTTTTATTCACCTCTTTTCCTTTGTTGTTATCAAGACCAAATATCAAGACTTGAATCAATACAAAATTGACTTCTCTGTCCAACAAAGGTTCACAAAGTTGTTCCCAGGTTCGCCATTATAACTCGTTCAGGTTGAAGAGTTGATACCATTTTCTTGCTTCATACACTTAGCAATCACTCTTTCATAACTACCTATCTCACTCCTCTATAGCATCCTCATATCACCCCCACTCCTATGTTTAGGGAATTTGACATATCCCATCTCTTTCTAACCAGAAGCTCTACATACATATTCGGCCCGTGTCATTCAAGCTTTATTCTCACATGCTTCCTATCTAACAAGTACCTTTTAATCATAACTAGTAGCTTCATGTACTCTAATCCCACTATTTACAACCGACTAATCACAACTTAGGTCTAACCAATCAATTTTCCTTTTGTTAACCTTACCCTTTAGTCACATACTAATCCTCTATAGACAACACATAGATCAGAATAGGAACTACCATACATATATCATTTTCATCAATTGGCACACTTAGCCCTAAGTTTTATTACAATAAAAAGAATACAAATGTTATTTGGAACATACCATATAAAAAGCCAACTATTAACATATTTAGGATGATATATGGTGAGAATTTAGGCCTTGTTAGCCAATTAGGGGTATCTTTAGTAACACTATTGTACTGATACATTCAACTATCAGATTGTGCCACTGCCTTCTTCCAACTAAAAGAAATTGGTTCAGCAAAATCAATTTCGAGTACATGTGTAATGCCAAAAATTCTATGTATAGCACAGTCTAAGAACGAGTGTCCCCTATAGGAATAGATCCTATGAATGTGGAGGAAATATAGAACTCAAGAGTTGGTTACATTCTCCTAAGAAGATGTGCTTAGAAATGCTACAGCTCATAAATGTAACTAGGTAACCCATTATTTTTTAAGCATATGGATAACCATACTATATCTTTCTCAATTGAACCAACGTGATACAAATGGTACAAATGCAACTTAAAATGCAAATAACATAAAAGTCTTTACATACCTCGTGGAGTTGGACGATTGAATAAAATGAGCTCAATCTAGTCTAAATTTTGATAACTTCAGATCCTTTTATGTTAGTTGCATGTTGAAATTTTAGCTACCGTTAACCTTAACCATCGTAAGCATAATATGAATAGCATGATCAGGTACAAATGGAAATAATTGACTTCTAAACTTCGCTCTATCGCACGATCTGGATTATTAAGGAAGGTAACATTTCCTAAATATCCAAGCAGCCCCCTAATTATAAATGTGGCGTGCAACATATTCATAAGTAATGCTCTACTAGACACGTCTTTCTAGACTTCCTAGGACGAACCGCTCTGATCCCATTTTATGATCTCAAATTTAAATACTTCCATCGACATCAACTTAATCGGGTCGCATCAAAATCTACAAACAGTTCACTTTAAACCTATTCTATTATCACTAGTCACATAAGAAATCGAGCCCATAACTATACCACAAGGCAATTTAAAAGCATCATATAAATAGAACCAATACACGTAGAATACATGGTGTTACATGTTTAGTTTTTGAATTTGATGTAGCATATAAAAATTACGGTCGTACTAAGGCTGTCAATGTTACCGACCCAGATGTTGCTCCTGTCAAAGGAGGATCCCGTGATGGTGGAGGTGGTGGAGGTGATGACTATGGTTGTGGTGGTTGATATGTATGTGGAGTTAGGAGATATAATGGTGATGAAGGTGTTTATGGTAGTGGCAAGCGCTATGGAAGTGATGGTTGATGTGGCGGCGGTGGTGGGAAGTATGGTGGAGGTAGTGGTGTGTATGGTGGTAGTGGTGGAGGAGAAAGTGGGTGTCGCAAGTCTCAGGAAAATTGGCATTTCGCAAGGGAATGTAGTCAAGGTGGTGGATATGGTCATCTTCCCAACTTTGTCTACATTCCTTTTATAAATAGCCACCTTCCCCACACTTGGAACACCCACCTCCTCCTCTACCACCGCCACTATACCCACCTTCGCCTCCACGACACTTCTCACCACCGCCGACATATGTACCATCACCTCTATACCGCCTGCGACAGCCGTAACCACCTGCATCACCACCATATCTCCCACCTCCATATCTGTATCAACCAACCACCACTATAGTGATAACGTCCACCACCTCCACCATCACGGGATACTCCTTTGATAGGAGCACCATCTCGGCCAGTATCGTTGACCGTCTTAGTGCAACAAGCATCCTAGGTTCCATATCAAACTCAGTAGCTTCACCATCAACTAAGCTACGAAAACCATTAGATCGGATAGCAGATTGATTAATAAAAATCTCACCAGCACCATCATTAGGAGTAATGAAACATAAACCCTTTTGGTCACTGAACAACTTCACCTGTCTTGTGTTTCGATGCCCCTGATTACACATATACTATAAGGAGAAGAATTCAATGATTATACCTTGGATTCTAGAGGCAAGAGATAAAGAGGTTCAAACAAATCATTTAGTTGAGCACAAGATGTCTTTTTTTTAGAAAAAGGTTCGAAAGTGGCATTGTCTTATAATTTATGTGTTGGTGTTGCACATAACAAAAATAGAAAAAAAGGTGATTAATGTTCCTATACTCTGATTCAAGTAAAAGGACTTGGTCCTAGTTCTTTTTTTTTTTTTTAGATATTAAATTAAAGAAAAATACCTAAGAGATGTAAATCTCATATGGTGGACTCTCGTAGCTATGTATGAATACATATATCAAAGCTATCTCAAGTATGATATTATGGAAAATTTTAAAAAATGTGATTCCAAAAGACCTTATCCTAGTTCTCTCTAAAAAGAATCATATACAAAGTGATAGATAACATATATTTGTTTCTCAGAATAAGGACACCATACATACTTAGAAATGAGAAAGTTACACTTATAAGATTACATTAACAAAAGTTCTATTGGAATTTTCTCAAACAAAATTTTATAAATGTAATATATATATATATATATATATATATATATGGAGCATCTAAGGACAATCCATGCAGAACATCATAAACCATTTTTATAAAAATGAAAGGGGGGATTCGATGTATGCAAAAACTAAAGAGATACACCACATAACTAACATAGTAGTAGATAATAAAATTGTTGATTATCTAGAAAAAATAATCAAACTAGACATTGGATCTATAATTGAATAATGGAGGTTATAAAGGAGATGACCAAAGCTTATGAAATGAATCTCCTTTATCAAATGTTATATTAGGGTTTCTTAGTTTATTCTTACAAATTTATAAAATAATTTTTTTCCTTATGTAGATATATCTCTAAACCTTTCTACTACTACTAATAAAATTGCCATGCAAAGGTCAGAATCAATGAAGATGGAGACATGCAAATTAGAAATGAAGATTTATACTTACTATTCATAGATGAGCAACAAAGGAGTACGAGAAAGAGCTTAATAAAACTTATTTGCAACAACATACTGAGACGAAAGGTCTTGTTCTACTAAAGGATAAACATTTTCAGGTGTGGTAAGTCTTTTGGAGAGAAGGAGAAGAAGAGGTAGAGAATAGGAAACCCTAGTACAAAGGAAAATGTCTAAGGAAGATAATTTATTGTATTTATTTTATATAGAGATAGGGTTGTTCCATTTTGGGCAGCACCAATTACTTTTGTGTGATAAGTAGATTTGGGCACTAGGCCCAAATGAGTTTCTTTTTTGTTTAAGCTTCTTTCTCACATCAATAAAAGGCCTAACCTTTTCTTAAAAAAAAGGGCCATGTGGTCATGAAACTTTATGAAATGACAATAGTGTGGATTTCATTCCCAACATTACCCCCAAATTTCTTTGGGAAATAATTTTTTTAAATTACTTTCTAAAGTTGTTCAAAACCAGCATAAGGCTTATAAAAACCCATTTAACAAATACATCAACAACATATAATTAGTATTAGGGCTTTGATATAAATATGTAATTATTATAAAATAAATACTTTAATATAAATATAATTAAATAGTAAAAGAACAATCTACACAAGAAGAGAGGGAAGGGAGAGCTATTTTTATTTCACCTTTTATTCATATCTTTTTCCCCAAATTAAGGGGCTATTCATAAGCCAAAAAAACATTGGCCTAAAGAATATGTGGGATCCATATGCTTGGGCACAGAGGAAAAATAGGTGGACATCATATTTTGCAACACTCCCCCTTGATGTCCATCTAAAATAAAAATTATAGTGAAACAAAAAGTGAAGTAACATGCATTGTTTGCTGCCACGTATTAAAAACCACTTGAAAGAAGCTAGGTGTAAGCTGATTGTGAGAAACTACTTGCAGAGCTACTTGGAAGAGGCTTATAAGAACTTTATGGTTTTAAGTTGCTTAGACGAACCTGCTTGCGGAGTTGATTGTAATTTGCTTATAGAAACTTTCATGGAAAACTGTTTGTAAGTTGCCTTCTTCATTTCAAACTCATCCAGAGAACTATGTAATCGACATCTAAAATATGATGTATTTATTACTTATTGGAGTTCGTCAATAATATAATGTGTCTTGTTAAAATATTATTAGGAAAAATCATGTGGGGTCCTACTAAAGGAAAGAGAGTACACATATCTAGTAATATGCGTTGAGAGTTACTTCATTAAAAATCTTAACAGAAAACTGAGTGGGACTAAAATATTCATTAAAGGAAAAAGAGTTCAGTGCCTATTTACTCCCCCAATTCAAACATCACTTAATTTTTGTAAAGGATATCTCACAATCTTATACTTAGCCTTCTAAATGTTGATATTAATTGTCTTTGTGATGAAATCACATTCTTGAAGATCTTTCATAATGGAGTCTATCATGATATGTTTTCTTTCTTGTATATTTGATATGTTGAGCTCAGCCAATGATAATCAGTTAGTTTGTGACCTCGTCGGTATAGACAAATTTCTGATTCAACTTGTTTGTAGCAATAGACAAATGACATATATTTTATTTAACTATATTGTAGAGTAATATAGTATAAAATTATTTCCACAAAAAAACAAATAGCTTACTTGAGATCACATTTTATATGTATCAAATGGTTTCTTGCAGTTTCATTACCAATAAACCTTTACAGGATCGGTTAGATAAACAAATTTATAAATCAGTATTTCATTCCCTTTGAAAATCTCTATCAATAGGAATAATGTTATATTTGCAAGCACATCAATAAAATTATTATACAATGAATAATAATCGCATGATACGTAAGTGTCACACCCCAAGGCTACCCACTTGACGTAAACGTGGGACCTAGGATTACGAGTGTCCTCAAGCTAACCCTGAGTTGGCATATCGTAAACATCCAAACATTTTCTGATATAAGAGATACTGCACGGAAGCTTAAAACATGAGATAAACTAAAATAATGGGGAATACCTAACACTGGTCTTAATATAAATACTGGATAAGAGTTAATAAAATTGGACTATAACTTAAAAACTAAAGCTGAATCTAACTATGTCTGAATATAAGCATCTAACTGACTAGAGATTGTGGAACATGCCCCAGCTAACTTTAGCAAAAACTGAATCTTAAATGAAAGACTAAATGTAAAAGATTATGTATATCATCCTCGAAGAATGAGGACTCACCACTAATACTGCTGAATACGGATCGAGAGCCAATTTACATGTGATCTGAATGCTGAGGACCTGAACCTGCATCACGAAAAGATGTAGCACAGAGTATGCGTCAATACTTTATAGGTACTGAGCAAGCAGGATAGGATAAAGCTGAACAAACATATAACTGAACAAAGCATACTAAGCAATGATATAATCTGAACATGATACAGATATTGAGCTATACTTCAAATGAACTAAACTGAATGGAATGACAAAGTACATAACAAGCTGAAACTAAAATATATCTGAAACCTGGTCAAATGCACTAGAGTCTTACTATGGGAGCTACTAATAACCGACATAAAACCACATGAGCTAAAGGTGGAGTCTGATGTCTACGCCCCATCGAAAGGACCCAAACATATATTACCAGCAGTATAAAGGCATGACTAGCATGATCACTGAATCTGATGCTCACAAAGGGGATTTATAAGGCACATAGTTCTGGGACTATGAGGGCGAGTGACCTTAGTCCAACTTAGTGTTAAGCTTACTCCCAACTGAAAATGTGTACAATACAACATATCTGAAATATATTGGATAGCTCAATATTCCGACATGCTAACTGAAAATGCAACATAAAGTACTGATAATGAAACATTTGAAAACTAAGGCATGTATATCTGTTTATCTTTCCTAACTAGTGTAATTCATGAACTAAATGAATTTACACAACTAGAGTTCTGAATTTCATTCAAGGAACTAAGCAATAATGTTACAACAACATGAAAATCTTATTAGGAATATTCTAACAGCTAAATCATTACAATTCTCTATATTTCCAGAAACCCTAGGTCTATATAATATTAAGGGAAACAAGAATCTTACTGAATTCTAAGGACCTATTGGGTGAAAGAACCCACTAGTGAAATCCCACATACCTCGTGATGAATTCCACAGTGAAATCTTTTGATTTTGAAGCTGGAACTGAAGAAACCTGACTGCGTATTCTTGAGAAAGTTATCGCTCGATTTTTCCCTTTTTGCTCTAAGCCTGATGTTTTTTTGGCAAATCAAATGCTTAGGGTAAGTTTTGACTAAGTTACTAGG